CTCTCTCTCTCTCTCTCTCTCTCTCTCTCTCTCTCTCTCTCTCTCTCTCTCTCTCTCTCTCTCTCTCTCTCTCTCTCTCTCTCTCTCTCGACCCTTTGTCTTCTGCATAGGAGAGTCACAAAAACCCGAAGCTGTCCTTCGGGACATCCGTTAAAATTGGAACGATACAGAGAAGATTAGCATGGCCCCTGTGCAAGGATGACACGCATAAATCGAGAAATGGTTCAAAAACCGGAAGCCACCTCTGCGGACACGTCTCCCGTCACTCACGCCACGGCCGCCATCGCTGAGTTCAGTAGAAGTCGTCGATCATGATCCGCACTTCGTCGTGCAAATATTCGCGATTGGCGAAAGGCGGATCAGCGTGGTCGACGTACAACGTCGGGTCGTGGAGGCGGCCTGCGTACCCCATCGCCACGTTGGACACCAACAGGTTGATGATGTCCGCCAACACCTCCACACCTCCTACCCAGTGGTTAGGGATGGTCGTGCCCACCTTCCGCGCAAAAACGACCATCGGGCGCAAGAGCCCTTTGCGAAATCCAAACCCGACCGTCAGATGGTGGCACGTGTCTCCATCCGCGCCGATCTCGTAATGGTGAACTTCATGCTTCGTGACCCCTTTCTCGAAATCAAAGTCCCTGCCGTAGTCCTCCCCGCGCCGGTGTCGCATCTCGTAGAAGATGATGGAGCGACCCAAAACCCACCCCCTTAACACCACGTCAATCTCCATGTACGCCGCAAACCACCAACGAAACGAAGTTGATCACAGCTACGTCCACCCCTTCCCAACACGCTGCTCCCACAGACCTTCACTCCTCCCACCGCGCACGACCGACGCGAACTTCGCACACCACACTCCACAGGTTCGTTCGACCCACCGCTCACTACCTGCGCATACTGCAACACAAGACCTCTACCTCCGAACAATCACAGAAAGCAAGGTGGTGATGATCGTGGCGTGACTGCGACCGGTTCACGTCATCCGCATCTTTATAGTCGACGACTGCCAGGATTCCGTGTTCAACGTCCGTCGAATGCCGTCGTAATCATCGTCCGATGGCCTGCTCCCATCAACGGACAGCTGCATCATATCCCCTGTGCAGGGCCAAGCCTGCCATGTCAGCGAAGAAGAACGAAAGAAGGGTTGGGCCTGAAAAATCGGCACAAGTAGTGTGCGAGGGGACCATGGGGCCCGTGGCAGGGGGGGAGGGGCTCAGGGGAGGGTGGTTCTTCGCCGGGGGAGGGTTACAGGGTGGGGTGGTGGTGGGATTGGGGGGGTTGGGGGGGGGGAAACGGGGGGTTTAGCTGATTCGTGCAACAGAGGGGTTCAAGGGCGGGCAGCAGCGGTTGTGATCTTCAAGGGGGCTTTGGTGGGCCCTCACCCCTTCATCAATGGGGGCTGTTGCAATAATCCCCGAGACAGCGCAGATGCTGTTTTCAGTAATGCGTCGCACAGCATGCGCTGACCCGCATCGAGCACCTCACACTGTTTCTCCTGCGTCCATGCCTCCCTTTCCATGATATCGCATCGCCGTTGCAGCACTTCGCATTGACGCTTGCTGGCACAATCCACAGATTTCACGACGACCATCGAATGTGTCTTCATCACGTCCGTGACATCATCGAAGGCCATCTGTCGTGCATTCCTCCGCTTCCCTGCAGGCTTGCCCTGCGAAGACCTGCTGCCATACCCATCCCCCGCTTTCCTTTCCATGTTGTCGCTAGCAGACGTTTCCCCGACGATAGTCGGACCTCTTGCTTGGCTCTGGTATCCCTCATTCGGTTGTTGAGGAGGAAGTCCGTCGGTGTCATGCAGATTAGGCGGGTGTATGGCCTGATTGTTGGGTGTCGTCGTGTGGATGGCATCGTAAAGCTGTCGATCCACTGCGAACTTGTACCCCAACTCTTTGCGTTTCTTCGGTGTCAGCAGGAAAAAAGACTGCAGGCCAGAGTCTTTCTCCCTGTCCCAATTTTTTTTGTACCACCCAAAGATATTCTCCCATCTTTTCATGCACGAATTCCCATCTCTATTCGTACCCCCCTGCTGGCACATCCGCTTCGCTATGTCGTTCCATTTCCAGGTCTTCGTCTTCATTCGCGCGAAGTTGCTTCCCTGGCTCGCCATGTAATCGTCGAGGTCCCTCTTGCAGCGAGCGAGGACGAGCGAATCGTCCAAACCCCAGTTCTGCCGCGTGCTCCCTCCCCCACCATTGCCATCCGCAAACCCCCCTCCCTCCCTCACCTTCGACCTCCCATGATTCTTGCTTGCCTTCTTCTTCCCGCTCTTTGATGTAACTTCCTTCACCCCACCATTGTCATCCTCCTCCCTTTCATCGTCGTCATCCATGCACTCCTCCGCCACATCCTCAGATTCCTCACCCTGACCGCTGGTGTCACCTCCATCGTCGGCTTCGACGTCGGTACACATCCTGGAGTACCGTGCTATGATCCTCTCTATCACCTGGGGGGACTCTGCCGCAGTCGCCATCGTCACCTTTCCTGGAGGACGGGTATGAGGAACCCAAGAGCGGACGGGAGTTGAGAATGTTGACGGTCGGCTATGGCTGCGTGTGGATGCGGACGATGACCTCGGCGGCCGCTGTCTATGAGGCTCGTCTTCTCGGGCGTCCTGCGTTGTCACGGACACCCCACCTTGTGACTGGGTGCTGTGCTTGACGAGAACGGTTCTCGATGCATCCATTGTGCACATCGGCGACAAATGCAGTTGCAGAGGATCAGGCTCCCCCCTTCGCGCTCCCACCAAGAGGGAGGACATCGGACCTGTCCCAGTGCCACGCTCATCCGCTCTGCCGCCAGAATCGAAGGAGGTATGTGTCGACCCCCATGCGAGAGGGAGGGTTGAAGGGGGCGGCACCCATTCGTCATCATCTGGCAAAGGCTGCATGTAAGGAGGAAGATGGGCGTACAGCGCGGGGTCAAATCGGTGATGCATTCCGTCGGGAACTCCATTGTGCACCCCCCCCCCCCATCCCATACATGTGCCCCATAGGCAGATTATCATCGCCCATCCCCTTCCTAGACTTGCCTCCTCCGCCGCCCTTCTTCGTTGCCTTCTTCCGCGGAGCAGCCCTGCTGTGCCTCAACAACTGGCACAATTGCAGCAGAACAACGATCAGCAAAGCCACTGAGGAGGTCTGCCATGCGCACACGTGGGGCGAGACGAAGACAAGTGCAGCGCCAGGCAGTGGTGAAAAGGACAAGGCGTCTGGGGACACGTGCAGCCATTTACATGGATCGGCTGGCTCCGAGGGAGCGTTGTGTCCTGCCCTCTGTGGACACCCCACCATGGACTGGCCATTGGCAGGGGCATCGCTGCCGAACTGCAGATTTCAAATTCGAACGACCGCCAACGGCCGTCCGTCCCCCGCTGCTTTCAGAACAACCTTTGTACCCTGCCAATGGCTACCGTGGCCTCGCAACGACACTGGAGGCAGCGTTACCGGGTCTCGTCGGTGCAACCGTCCTGGGCGGAGGACCAGACATGAACGCATTGGACCAGGAACAACCATGCTTCGCCAGAAAACCCCAAAAAAAGACAGCCTCCGTGAATAACGCACTCCGTAGGGTCCCACCCTCACATTTCAAGTCACCTCCGGGGGCTCCCTAGAGATTTCCGTCATTTTGCCTGGGGCGCCCTCATTTTGTAGGGGCGGACCCTAAAAGTTGAAAATGTCGAAACAGTTTGGAGTACGTTTTTTCCATCATTAGGGTGTGGTGGAACGATGATTATGTAAGCATCCTTACGTTGTAAGTGGTGTCGAACAAGGCCCTTTGATGTGACCCTGAGCCAAAAGGTGTTCAGTTTATTTTTCTGGATAATATTTTTTTTTTCAGTTTTTTTTAACTTTTTTTTTGCTGAGACCTCCTTTGGTCCTTGCACGGCCGGGCCGCCCGGGCAAACAAGGTGACCCAGGCAGCCTGGCTGGTAGCCAAGGTAAATATTGACTATTATTGTAGCTCTACTCACCTTCTCTCTATTTCTTCTCTTAGCTCGTCTTTTGTCCGTCTACTTGCTGCTGCAAATTGAGACAACGTTCTGAATGTGATGACCTTCTTTTTTTTTTTTTTTTTTAACAAAGCAAGGCTCCGGTGTATTCGTTATGTATGTGATGACCTCATGCATGGCGATCACATTGTGAGCTTCTCACAGGTGGGTTCATTACAATTGCAACTGACTTCAAAAAGGTGCGCCTCTTTTCTCTTCTTACTGCAATGCAGTACGGTGCATGGTACATCCCACCGGCGAAATGGCTTCTTCATGCCCGACATCAGCAGCAACAACAGCAACAGCAACAGCAAGAAGCTGCACCACAGGCTGGAGGAGGAGGAGGGGGGCCTGTAAAGTCCAGACCACAGACCCCAACTTCTAAGTTGAAGGTGGGTGCGGCCTTTTTTTTCATCTCTATCCTACCTTCTGGGCCCTTTCTGCACCTCCCTGTCCCCTCCCTCTTCCTTTCCTTCTCTCTTCCATCTTCCTCCGTCTCCCTCTTCCTCTCTGCTGCATGTTCCCCCTGTTCTCTCCTCTACTCAACTACTCCATAGTTAAATCAACTTAATGGTTTTAAGCTGCAATAGGAGGTTTAAGGTTGCAAAGTTACAAACTAATATGTTGAAAATTCAAAATTTCAAATTTGTCATTGAAATTCCACACACACAGGTCTGAAGTTCATTCTCCTGTACCAAGCCCATGAGGCTGAATATTACACCAATGGACAGTGGATAAGTAGACCTGAGTTTGAATCCTTATAGACTCCATTTAGTTTAAGCCTTAAAGTAATTCAGACCTGAGTCTGAATTAGTTCTGAATTACCTGGGCCCCGTTGGTTCGATGATGACACCTCAGGGCCTTCGCCTTTTTTTTTCTTCTTTGAGTTCATACTACTTCATAGTACTTCAAAGTTCATACTCCTATTTGCAAGGAATATGAGCGAGAGGGATAGACAAATCCGAGTTGCAAAATCACGAAGTAGTCCAGATAGTCATGTACCAAGCAGTGAGCACAATGCACCAAGATACCATCCAAATAAGAGCAATACAATGAACTCGTATGTCAATGCCGACACTCTCTGGTCACGCCAACACAGTATCCAATGTCGCTCCTACTGTCTGGCGCTCAGCGCCCAGCCTACACTACTCAGCCTATCTATCCTATCAACGTTCATGCGACTGCATCACATCGAAGTTGAAGACCAATGTACGTGACGTCATCACCAATGCCGACCACCAGCATACACCAGGTACGTTCTCTCTCCTCCCCGCATCCCACCTTGACTCCCCTCTGCATGCGCCTCCTACCCGAAGACCACCATTGCCATCACTCACCTTCTGCACGTTCGGCCCGGCTATGGCCGCCGCGCCCACTGCCACCGCAGCGCCCTCACACCTCTCTACACCCGCGTGCGCCCTGGCCGGCTAGCGCTATCGCAGCAGCGCCTGGCATTGCAGCAGCATGGCCGCTATGCCTGCGTAGGCCAGAATCAGGCTGCCTGGGCAAGGCACGTTCCTTTATGGAAAGTGTGGCCCTGTGTCTGGCTGCGTGGGCCTGGCCTGGGAAGTTTCCAGTAGCTTCCAGTCGGGCCTCAGTGTCTGTGCCCAGGCTCACCTTTGCTATTACGGGCCTGGGCCCTTTTCAGTTGGGCACGCCCAGGCAGCCGTCCAGGCTCCAAGTGTTTGCTGCATTCTCATTGGCTCGCGGAGGTTGTGTGACGACAGTGCTGCTTTCTCATTCGTCCGCGGCGACTGCGTGATGTGTCAGCCTCCCACTGTGTGTGCCTAGGGCGCAACCAACCGGGGCCCTGGGCTCAACTGTGCAGTGCAGCTTTTGCTTCTGGAGGATCCAGGAAAGGCTCATGCTGCTTTGTAACCAACTGGTGTGCTGCAGCTGTCTGATAACCCACAAATGGAAAAATGTCGAAAGGAGGCCTCACATGGATATTCAGGCCCGCCTTCACTTAGGGCGGGCACAATGCTTGCTGGGGGCCACAGCCCAGAACACTTGCATGTCTGTAAGGGCCTAGTGAGGGCTCAATCCTCGTATATTAGAATTCGAGCAAGTAAGTAAAGGCAATCATAGTGTAGAACAAATTGTGAGGCTTACCCTCGTGGAGGACAAAATGTGCCAATACAGTAGTACACAGATGCACAGCGCATCCCCGCATTGCCCTTCATTTGACACACACAGCATTATTACCTTGGCTGATTATTGGCACCTACCGACTCCAAATGTGCTGTAATGAAGACTTCAACGATCTCAGTAGGATGGACAACGTCAGGCTACCATCTTCCCTGAGCACAACATACCCTGATTGTGAATGTATACAACCTATCTCTCCAGTTAAATGCAGACATGATGAGCTCAGGGTATGTTGTGTTTGGTGGAAGACGGAAAATGGGCCTTGCTAGGCAAATGGGAATGTTCAATGTTCACGCTCACAAAGTGGGATCCAAAGCAAATCGAAGCGTCAACTTTGGCAAAGCCTAACTAAGTCCTAAAACATTGAAGTAATGAAAGGAAGGCACCATCCGTATTTACTGCTTTTCCCTACCCCAACACCACTGGGTATTGGATACGCTTGAATGAACAAATCACAGATCACTGCTCTAAAGGGAGGTAGGCATGGAAAGAAAGACATCAAAGGAGGGGTGGAGGGACCCCAGGAGGAAAGAGAGAGAGAACGAGTGAAGAGGAAGGGAACAAGGAAAGCAAGACACAGAGAGAGGGAGAGAGAGAGAGAGAGAGAGAGAGAGAGAGAGAGAGAGAGAGAGAGAGAGAGAGAGAGAGAGAGAGAGAGAGAGTTTTAAATCCCCTCTCTTGGATTCCCTTGAGTCTCTCCTGAACTGGGAACATGCAAAAAGTAGCGACCACGTCTACGCACATCATTAGGCTCCCGAACTGTATTTTTGCTATGAACAATATGTGGTCCAGTGGAACACCATAGTCTCGATACTATGTCAAAACCTTGCAGAGTACAGAGAAAGCCCAGATTCACACACATGCAAGAGCAATGGATTATGAAAGCAGCCATTCTGTGCAATTGATCATGGTACTGATATGCTTCGTCGTGTTTTTGTGTTCCCTATCCTCTCTATGGGCCTTGCTCCACTACTCACCAAATGTGCAAAATGAGAATGAATCTTCAGGTGGATTACACGGCCATATTTTTTGTCTTTTGTGCATGTGGTGAGTAGTGGAGCGAGGCCCTGTGTTGCTGTCTTTTTCATTGTGTTTCACCATGTGTTGGTCGGAGCATGTCGTGTTTTCTCATGGCCTGGCTCTAACATGGGGCAAAACAGCAACAACCCAGAGGATCTCCAGACACAGAAAGACTGGTTCGCCCTATGGCTCGGCGCAGGTCGTACATGGCTGGCCTGTATGGCAGCAAGGCATACCGGGTATGTTGTTTCGCCTATCATTTGGCACACGCCACTGGATATTCATGTCCTCACCTCTTCACTTCCTCTTTCTTTAGCTCTTCACTTCTGCATAGTGTACATGTCATTTCAATTTTCAACATCATTCCCTGGACTTCTGCTCAGTGGGCCACCGTTCATTAGGCCATCGCAGAATCAGTTTATTGTAATGACCCGCCAAAACACAGACTGAGAACACTGCTGATTTCTGAGTTTTGCCGCTGGAATGAATGCCTTGCTGAGATTCCCGCATTCGGCTGAGTTTTCTGTGTGTGTGTGCGTGCTTGCTGGTTCGAGTGCCTGTCTGAGTGTGTGTGTGGCCCGCCAGGGCACTTGTTTGTTTGGAAGGCCCAAGGGGGCCGGTACTTACCTGTGGCCGTGACTTTGAGGATTGGAGCGGGGAAAACACTCAAGTAGCGGGAGTAGGCCTGTGATACTTAGTGCAGCGGGGAAAAACACTCAAGTAGCAGGTAGGCCAGTGCCACTCAAGTAATGGTAGATGTGTCGGGAACTGGAGGCCTAGCAGAAGAAGACAAAAAGTTTGTATTTTTCGAGGGCCAGTAGCTGGTAGGCTAGGTCTAGGTGGGTACCACTCCAAGTAGCCTGAGTCTAGGGCCTGTGCAGACGATATCAGAACGTGCAATGATGTTTCCTTCCAGAAAGGGAGGAGGTACCGGTTGCTTGGAGGCCGCGTGGCCTGGAAGTCACCACCCAAGAGGTAGGTAGGCCGCTATATCTCCAGGAGGAGCGAAGTGCTCCTCATTTTGCGGTATGCAAGTTTGGGCGTCATGCTGCTTGAGTGGGCGCTAGTACACAAGAGTGCCGCTGGGAGGAAGAGTGCTGGGCAGTGCAGCGCTGGGAGGAGGAAGAAGGCCGGGAGCCTCCACCTTGGCTATGGTGGAGTTCTACTGGTAGGAGGAGGAGGAGGGGCACTAGGGAGGAGAGTGGCGAGGTACTTACCTGGCTATGGTAGACGCCATCTTCATCACCTTGTTAGGCGCCGGACCTGGAAGGCCCCAATGGGGGGGTTGCGCTGCACCAAGAAGGCTTCAAGGCAGAGTCAGGCATGGCGGCCGGAGTAGCAGCGGACATAGCTGCTTTGCGTTGTCTTTTGCACATCAGGGCTAGGCCCTTACTAGTCCGCCATAGCCTCGGCCTGGTTGACGAGGAGGAAGGAGGCCATGGCTATGGTGGACCTCTGTTGATGCCAAGCAGTAGGAGAGGGATTCGGACTTCGATTCTGGTTCAGCCAATCATCATCATTATTATTGTTTATTTTATTGTTTGAATAATAGCGGACGCGATAAGGAGGAGGAGTTGGTTGGCGAAGGGGGATTGTCATTGGTCTTTGGCTGGTGTACATCTTCGTCTTCTTCTTTCTTTTGTCTTCTTCTTCTTCTTTATCTCGCCCTCCTCTCAAGTTCATTCATTTCTTTTGCAATTGGACGGCATTGTGTGTTCTTGTGAATTTTGCACTTCGGAATTGGCCAGGATTGTAACATTATAGTAACTTTATACTTTTGTTATGTAAGCTCACACTTATACTTCAGCTCATACTGCATGGACCTCTCTCTCTCTCCCTCTCTCTCTCTTTTCTTTTTTTTTTCACTTCAGCAGAAGTTCAGCTCATACTGCATGGAACTCTTAACTTATGGCTAAGCGGAATGAATGTAACAAGCTGCTAGTTAACTCGTAGAGCTGTCCTTCTCTGCTTTTGCTTGTGTACATCGTATCATACTTACAACCGCACTTGCGCGCGGCACAGCACCTGCCGGTACGCCGTACCAGCAAAGTTTTTTGTTTCTTTTTTGGCAAATACAGAAAGAGTATACGACCTATGGAACAGATCCTGCTCAAGTACAGTCGTACTGATTTTTCTTTTTGTCCCATTGTGTGAGGAGGTTGTCCTCAGCAGGCCTATACAGGGGCCCCACTGCAAGCAATGTGCCCGCCCTAAGTGAAGGTGGGCATGCATTTCTCCATGGGCGTTCAGGGCCTCTTGGGCGCTAGACAGTTACTGGACGCCAGTTGGTTGAAGTGCCCTGCACGCTATGCGACCGTGGGATCGTGAGCCTTCTGGGCTCTTCCAGGCACGGCGTGGAAAAAGGTCTTCTGGCCTATCAGGACACAGTGAGTGACACAGGCCACGTCGTACAGTTGGGCATGCCTAACTGTTGCGGTCCCAGCCCGCTGTCTGAATGGGCCCTGGGTGCAGACACTTTAGGCCAACCTCAGGCTACTGGGCACACGGTCGCCAGTACCAGGCTGCCTGGACAAGCAAGCACTTTCCATATAGGATAGTGCCCGCCTGCCCCTCGCTCATTTGGGCACTTGCACGTCGTGCAGCAGCACTGCTCAAAAGCCGCTGGTAGGGAGGTGCCTGGCGAGCACAGTCGCGAGGTGGTGGGCGCTGCTGGATGCAGCACCATCCAGCAGCGCCAGATATCAGCCATAGCCGGGCTGGATATCGAATGTCAGCGGGGCTTGGTGGTGGTCCTTCGGTGGAGGACGTAGTGTGGGGAGAAGACGAGAGTGAGCAGAGAGAGAGAGAGAGAGAGAGAGAGAGAGAGAGAGAGAGAGAGAGAGAGAGAGAGAGAGAGAGAGAGAGAGATGGGGGACGTACCTGGTTCGTCGTGGGCGACATCTGCACGTACATTGGTTTCTTCTGCTGAGGTCGTCCTGTTGTGTTGTCATTAGTGTAGGCTAGTATAGGAGCTGCGTGATAGTAGTGTGGGCGTTGAGAGGCAAGTAGGAGAAAAGACATTGAGCGCGTTGTTGATGGAGGTGAGATAAGGACTGACATTGACAATTGACTTCGGTGCTTTGGTCTCCTTCGGTGTGATATTGGTGCATTTCTGCTTTCTGGACAGCTCACGACTATCTTGCTCTCAATGTGATATTGCAATTTGGAATTCTGTCATTTCGCTCCTACTTATTTTCCTTGCAGTTTGGTGTCGGAGCTGGTTCGAGCCGCCCCGCTGGCTTCAGCACATTGGTTGATTGGTGCTGTGCCATGAGCATGCAGGGCAGTGATATTGCTATGGCACTGAAATGATTAGCCACCCAGTGTTGCGTGGGTGCGTGTGGAAGGCTATGTGGTGACGTAGGGGTGTATGCTGTGTGGCGAGAGCTCACTGACATGGCATTTAAGCGGAGGTGGAACTGCATTGTACTGTGGGTTGTGCTGAGGTATGTTGCTCCTTACCTTATCTACCCTCCTCAACTCTTCTTACCCTGAGGAAGTGTGTCCAGTCTTGAGAGTCCTCTCATTGTGAGGAGTCATGAGCGCTCTACCTTGAGAGTCGACATTCTTCCTGGGGAGCATGCTGGTGGGAGAGGGCGGAGGTGTCTGAAGGGCCCTGGGTAAAGCACGCTTAGCACGGGTCGCGGTCACTATGCCAACCCATGGGAGTAGAGCACGCATGCTTTGCTGCTTTTGTCCTTTGTATGCTCTTGCTGCGTATTAGAGGTGATGTTGGGCAGGCCAGCCCTATGGGGGATCGACGAGTACCGGACCGTCTATAAAGGACCTCCAGCTGGGACAATCTGCTCGTGGTGTACGCGAGCTTAAAAATAGTACAGACGGGGCTGCCAGTTCTTCGCTTACCTGGGCATAGGGTTGGGCCGTTTGCACACCTTTGGACACCGCTCTGCAAAAGATGCTTTCAGGACGTCGACAAGCAAGTGACAAACAAGAAGGATCAAGGGGGTGGTTGGATTCCAGTTGCCTGTCCATTTGTGAATTACTGCAAAATTTTCCATTCAGCATTCATTCTTTGCAAATAATTTTATGTTTATTTTTGGTTAGTTAGATTTGACAGACTGCCCACATCTGACAGACTGATGTAGGTAGAACAGTACATTATTATGTTTTTTCATTGCATCTGTTTGAGACTAGTCAAAGAAGGAATAGAATTGTTTGTAGGGGTCTGAACATACTTCCTGGTACTTCCCGGAAACGCTGGACCAAATATTTATTTTTATTTACTTATTTTTAGCATCGGTCGAATGCTATGCTGCGGTAGGTTCCAGCGAGGATGCTAGTGCAGATTTCGATCCGGGTGTAGCTGATGAGTGGAGAAGACAACCATGGTGAGAGACTAGACGTTAGGGGACGGAGGACTACCCGACAGGGGGCACTTAGTCAGCCGATCACTTACCTGTCTCTTTGACCAGGTGAGGAAAGGAAACTATGGCGGGAAGCTGAAGAGAGGTGGCATTTCCTGAGGGCACACATAGCAGCAGCTGAGGCAGAAAGGGCTATAGCAGCAGCAGAAGTTGCACATGCTAGAGCTGAAGCAGCAGCTATGGCTACCACATCTGCAACTACGCAGGCCACGTCACAGGACATTTCGTCTAGTGCCAGTCAGGACACGTCAGGGACGTCATCCAGTCAGTTTGCTGGCTCGCAGTAAAGTCAGCAACCACCGCTGTCAGTAGAGAATTTAGAACTCCAGCAGGCATATGTCCTGCACTGACAGTTACAAAACCAGCTAAAGGAAGTAGTGAATAGGAGAGAGAGAGCAAGAAGAAGAAAGATCAGACCAGAGGCAAGGGAGGGGGATCTAAACAGGGTAGAGGCTTTGGATGAGGCAGCACTTAGTCCGGATGTGAGGGCACTTCAGTCAAGTCTCCTGAGCATGGCTGAGGTACAGGCCGCGCAGCAGGACATGCTGTCCACCCTTATAGCAGGCCAGAATCAGATCCTGGCTGCGCTGAGAGGGCCTAGGCCTGTGCCTAGGCCTGCGCAACCTGTGGTAGTTCCTCCATTGGTGACTGGACCATCCGTGTCGCTGCCACCTATGAGAGATTGCTTTGTACCTCAGTTTGGCATGATCCAACCAGGCGGTCCATCAGTAGGTAATAGTTGGCAGACACCAGTACTAGCTTCTTCTTCTTTTCAGCCGGCTGCTTGTTCACTGTGTGTAGGTGATCCTTGGCTGCTGGTACAAAGAAGGAAGCAGTCTCTCGTGGCGTGGTCT